TATATATATATATATATATATAGATTATGGAGTTTGTTTATTTTAGAGTATTTATCAAATATGAGGCTTGTGGGGAAGGGAGACAGATGAGGGAACTCGTTTGAAGTCTTCTCTTGCAAGTTACATTCTGATTAACTTAAAATAATATTATTAATGATTAATTGTTGTTATCTAATTATAATTATAATTTAATCAAACTAATTAGAATTGATATAGGCTAAAGAGTAACTAACTTTATTAAATTGATATTATTTTATATAATTTGCCCCCAAAACTATTATTGAATTAGCTTTATAGATTATTAATTAAGAATTATTTAAAACTTTTCTTATGCCGATTTATACATAAAAAGAACTAATTAATGATTAACGTTATTAGAAATAATAGAAAATTGTGCAAAGTTAAATAATGCCTTAACAATTCATCATCAAGTAATCAATAATTACTATCAAAATTCTATATTTGAACTAATTTAAATGCTACTTACAGTAGCATATACTTGAATTTTGAAATAACTTCATAAACAATTTGACCGGATGCAACTAAACTCAGAATTTTTTCAATCAAGAATTACATGAGCAAAGTATATTTTGTTCGAGCTAAAACCTGATATAAATTGTCAGATAATTTAACAGGATTTACAAGATTTACCAAATTTAATAATATAGTATTAATTAATAATTATGGTTATTTAATGTGCTTCAATTATTCTATTTTATACCTTAACATCCTACTCTACACTCTTATTTGACTAGTCCTGTATATCTTGCATCAATCTTATATATAAAAGCTTTTCATTAGAACATTTTTAGGATCAATCTCAAAGTTTAATGCCAGCTCAAATTAATATGTAAAGATGTCCACATGAAGAGCTCCCTTCTACCAATTTCCATCTAAGCAAATGAGAAAATCATAGATAGGATTAGGGGTCTATTTAGGATAGCTTTCTATATACTAAGTGTTTCAGAGCGTCACCACAGTTTCCTTTGGGGAACTATTTTCTAGAAATTTCTATGGTGTGAAGCTGTTTTTTTTCCAAATTGTTCACCAGAAATTTCTGCTATCTATTGTTTTTGAAAAAATATATATATATTTATAATTTCTATGTTTTTTAAAGAAGTTGATTCTTCTGTTGTACCTTTTAAAAAAGCCGCAGTCACCCAATCTAACCCTAAGTTGATTCAGATATGATTGGTTAGAGTAACTAAATTGAATACATTAAAAATATTGATATTAAAATGAACATAATCCATAAATTATAGGGATATCTTTGATTATTTATTTTATTTTTTTTTATAATTTTTTTTTAGTTCTTGTAGATAATCTGATGTGTGTATGGTGATCATGGAAATTTACGCCCATACCACACATTTTTTATGTACTTACATATCTAACACCCAAAGTTTGATATTTATTTACTCTTATAATACCTTGATACCATAAACTTGCACATGAAAAGGTGTATTTTTAATGATTTGAGTGGCATGCAACATGAATGTTTAGGTATTTGGTATGTAAATACATAATGGACTTTGTGTGGTATTTACGTAAACACCCCTTGTAATTATTCTCTCTTCGGTTTCTCCCAACCTCCAAAACCTGCTCTTCATTCTGCTTCGCTTTTATCACCAGTTTTCTCTAATATACAACTCAAGCTGCCACCAACATCGCTTTTATCACCAGTTTTCTCTAATATACAACTCCAACTTTATTATTGTTGTGGCATCCCTGCAAATTTCTTAACATTAATCCAAAGTATTTTACCAATCTTCCTACCAACAATTTACTTATTTCCCATGGATTTGAAACGCTGTAATGCTGGAAAATAAGTTCCTTACATGCTTAACCAGCACGGTAAAGGTTTTTAAGATAAAAGTTGGATCAGCTACCTCTTCTATTTGTTGAACAGCTAGAGCAGAAGGGAGAGTCACCGGGCGCAAGAAGCTCCCATGCCGTTGCTGTAGTTAGAAACAAAGCATATGTCTTCGGGGGCGAGATCACACCTCGCGTCCCCGTCGATAACAAGCTGCACGTATTCGACCTCGGCCAGCATGTCTGGTCCAGCCCCGAGGTTTCTGGCGACATCCCTTTGCCTCGAGTGGGCGTCACTATGACTGCTGTTGGCAACATCATCTATGTCTTTGGCGGCCGTGATGCAGATCACAAGGAGCTCAATGAGCTCCTCTCATTCGACACCCGCACGAACCAATGGTCGTTGCTGTCCTCGAACGAAATGGGTCCTCCCCACCGCAGCTACCATTCGATGACCGCCGACAACCGCCGCATTTACATATTCGGCGGATGTGGAAATGCCGGCCGGCTTAATGATCTATGGGCATATGACACCGAGGGTCATGAATGGATACAATTCCCATCACCAGGGGAGAGGTGTCGGCCTCGAGGGGGTCCGGGGCTGGCCGTGTCTTCAGGGAAGGTGTGGGTTGTGTATGGATTCTCAGGCGAAGAGCTTGATGATGTGCACTCATTCGATCTCACGAACAAAGAATGGTCGACAATCGAAACTAGGGGCGACGAAAAACCGAGCCCAAGGAGTGTGTTTTCGACCGTTAGTATTGGGAAGTACGTTTTCATTCATGGGGGAGAGATTGATCCCAGTGACTTGGGGCATCTTGGTGCCGGGAAGTTTGCCGGAGAGGTATATGTACTTGACACCGAGACTTGTGCTTGGATTAGGGTTTGTGATGGCGGCGAAAGTCCAGGTCGGCGAGGCTGGTGTGCCTTCTCCGCCACAGAGATTGGAGGGGAGAAAGGACTGTTGGTTTATGGAGGTAACTCTCCTACAAATGATAGGCTTCATGACATGTTCTTCTTTGTTCCCAGGCTTTAGACAATTGTGTTTTTGCTTGTTTTCTTATGATGTTTGGTGTTAAGGGGTCATAATGCCAGCCACTTGTTGTATAAATCCTTTTCGCTGTGTATATTTATATTGCTTTTATTGAATGCTGGATTGGCTACAGATATTCTATTACTGTTATTTTTGTACTCCTGAACTGATCAGAACTCTTTGAATAGTCATAAATTATTTCTAGATCTGCCTTCATTATTCATTTTTTGAGGCATTTACATACATACCACTCAATTCTTATGTATTTATGTATCTAACACCTGAACTTTAATTGTTTTACATATATGCCACTTTTTAGTAGTTAAAATGCCGCATTTTTTACGTGATGTGAATGTACAAACACAAAAAAAGATTTTGGGTGGATATAAATGTAAAAAAAAGTAAAATTTTTGCTAGATATGTAAATACACAAGGGTTGTATTTATGTAAAAGCCCAAATTTTTTTTTTTTACATTTGTGTCACTCAAATCTTTTATATAGCAAAAAAAAAAAAAAATATGCCACTAAATTAATTTTTAAAAAAAAAGCAAAATATATCTTGTAATGCATAAGTTAATGTGTCATACATGTAAAAGCAAGCAAAATATATCTTGTAATGCATAAGTTAATGTGGCATACATGTAAAAGTTGAAGTTTAGGGTGCTAGATCTGTAAATACATAGGAAATAAATGGTATGCATGTAAGTAATGCTTCTTTTCCAAGTTTTTGTTCAATTAAATTCGATCAGAAATCTTTTAAAAGCCATCAATCATAAAAACTTCAAATCAATAAAAATTTCATTAATATATTGAGAAAAAAATAAAAAAAAGGAGAGAACCAAGTAATATTACTTGAATCATAATACCATAAGTTCTTACATTATATCATGTAATAACTAAATTACAACAACATGAAATCATTTACATCCCCTTCCCCTCGTATGTCTACAGCTGAGAACTATTAAGAGACCTCAAATTCACTCCCACAAATCCTCAGCCTACCCAGTCATCTGATAAAATCATATTTTTACCAAACTTCTTTGTGGAGTGCAGCAGGATATAAAAGTAATAAAAGCATAATTTGATGCATTTTAAGGTGTAATAGAGGCAATTACTATAAATACATGAATCATTTATTCGCTGTAAATTTTGAGGCCATTAATGGAATTAGAGAGCTTACTCGCATTGTCAGCCGTTTTCTGGTCCTCCAATTTGATTAACTCGGACTCGATGGTTTCCGCAATCTTTACGCCATCCGGGTCGGGGTCTGGGAGACTTACATGGAACGAGCCCTGTTTGGCGGGTGGTTGGGCGGGCAGATGGCCGCGCGCCTGCTGCTTGATGTAATTGTATAGTTGTTGGTGGAAGGGATGGTCTAAGGAGAAGCAACTGTCGGAGTCGGCCGATACCGAGTATCGCGAAGACCCTGAACCCGAGCCTTCTCTTCGACAAAAGTGTGGGAGCGAAGAGTAATCCATAATCTATACACAATAAAATAATAATAATAATAAACACAAGCAAATTAGATTAGTATATCCTGACAAAATTTTGGTTCGGAACTTGTAATAATAGAAAATTGGAAAATTTACATACATAACACAATTCTTAAGTAATGACATATCTGACACATGAAGTTTGATAGTTAATTTAAAATACTGAATTTGGTTATTAAAGCACATAAAACAGCTCAGTTTTAAGGTGTCAGAGCGCTTCTTTCACTTGCGTGCCACTAAAAATTACATCTCATTGATTTGTACTACATGGTGGACAAAAGTCAATCTTAAGTTAGATTTAGAATGCACTGCAAATGTTTGGACCAGAACAAAGTTTGAATTTCATACCTTCAATAACTCATCCCTACCACAGCCTTGCAATACTTGCACCTTTTTTCTTGTCCGTTCTTGCAAAAGAGGTTTTACAACCTGCAAAAACATTTGTAAATATTATAATTGACGTAGCCTTATAACAAAGTTAGATTGCAAAAGAGGTTTTACAACCTGCAAAAACATTTGCAAATATTATAATTGACGTAGCCTTATAACGACGAAGTTTGGGAAAAACCGATTCAAGTAATAAATAAATAAAAAGCAGTGTTGCTAATTGAAGAAAACATATATAAAGGTTCGGAAACTGCTGCTCAAAGTTTTATTATTAGAGCTTACGAATAAATTTAATGAATTTCATAATTGCAGATCTACCTTCCAGCACGATGAAAAAACATATGGAGCATTGACGATGTAATAGGTATCCGTCTTCTCTGGGTAGTTCAGGTCATCAACTGTTGATATGATGGTCATTAACTAAATCACATCAAAAGAAGAAAAAAATTAGATAAAGATTGCAGATGTAGGATATGCAAAAGCAGTAAATATTTAGATCAATAATGGATTTGCATAAACAACATATTTTTTATGCATTTACATATTTAACAGCTAAACTTTAATATTTACTTAATATCACACCAAAACACTAAATTTCACACAAAAGAAAGCCCTAACATTATTTTTCTAAAGCGAAGCATAACTTTCACACACATATTTTGATTTGATAGTATACTAAAGCGTTATTAGTATAAGAATAATGCGATATGCATGAAAATCGCCTAAAAAATAGGGGCATTTACATGCATACCACACAATTCTTGTGTATTTACATATCAAACACCTAAACTTTATTGTAGATACATAACACTCAAAACTTTGATATCACGTCAAAAATACCACAATTACTAACTTTTGAAAAGATAAATACACCTCATGCAGAGGTTACGACACCAAAGTCTTATAAATATAAATATCAATATTTTAGATGTTTAGATATGTAAAGATTTCTGCTCATGCCAGGCTTGCCAAGCAAGCACTATAAAAAAGAAGATACTGAAATACACACATAAATAAATGCATGAAGTTAATAATTATTACATATTTATTTAAATTGACAAACATGGACCAGATATGTATGGTTCGCAAAAAATGTGAAAAACAAACAATTTCAAAACCTTAATTTGGCTCAATGCCGAAAGTTTCAGTCCAGTCATATCCAAAATTTTTATGCAAGTTCCAATATGCCTCCCATGCTTCTTTGTGGCATTAGGCTGCAAGAGATGGACAAAAAAATAAACAGATGATTGGAGCATCTGGACCAATTTCAAAGATAAACACAAAGAGATACTCACCAAAATCACACGATCTCGGTATTCATTGATCTGGATGTGTGATTGCACATAGCAATGAACCTAAAATGGAAATAAAATGACAGTTTAGAAGAAGAGAAAAAAAAATGTAATAAAGGTACCGGTCACCAAAACGAATCAAAACTAGTTATACAGCTAAAATACATTTGTGATAAATCATTATCATTTATCCCAAGTTTTTGAGGTTAGCTTCATAAATCCTAATTTTCATGCACCATTATTAAGTGCTGCCTGAGATATTAAATAAATGCTTCTTAGATCAATTTAGAACTTCTGCCTCTTTCTAATCCTTTAAACAAATTTTATCAGGTTGTTTAATTAGTGCAGTTTCCACCTTTCAATGAAGGTGCTAAACCACCTAAGTTTAGTTTTAAATACCTAATATTTAATCAATTCAACAGTTCCTATAAAATAATCATTTCTTAATATATTTTTCCAAATTTTGTCCCATCATCAATCTAACATTCTTCTTTTGCTACACCTAACTTATAAAATATTTTATTATATCTCAACACTTGAACACTTATAGATAGCACTGACCTAATTGCAGTTTCATGGAACTAAACTCACAAATCTCTATGGTATTCTCTTATCACATGATACTTCCAAGAAACTTCACTGTTTTAGCCACCCAATCGTAATTCTAAAATTTAAATTCTAAGCTGTCCCAATTCTTCTGCATAATCGATCCAAGGTACTCGAATCCCATCACGCCTAATAAGTACCAGTTTATCTACTAATGATATTGATTGATAATTGTTACTATTATGCCTACTAAAATTATAGATTATATGCTCAATATCTGTTTGAATTAATGGAATCCCTTGACTTCTGAATTTTTTTCTCCATTAGTTTTGACTTTTCACTTGTCTTAGTGGTTGAATCATCCATCAAAACAATATTCAAAAAAGTATACATCAAGATGCCTCACTTTGAATTAACTTATACACATCTCTATAATAAATAAATAAAAAAAGGATTCAATGTTGATTCTTGAAGTAATCCAACTATAATTGAAAATGATCCAATCAATTTAAAACTACTTTTCATATTACTCAACTCTCCATCAAACGTATTTTTAATAATTTCAACATAGTTGCGCCACTCATTTATGCCTTACATATTGTGGAGGCCTCTTGATGCATGCCAAGGAAGATGATAGCTTGATATGTGAAGAACGTGATGATAGAAAAACGAAGAGAGAGAGTCTCTTTGATTTGTACACAAAAAAAAGAAAAAAGAAAAAAAAAAGAACTACTAGAGAAGATGGATTATATTAACATTGAAATGGATCGATTAGGCACAATTTTTCTCCTTCAACCTTCACACTTGATACAAAGTGATGAATTTCATACCAACCAAAAAATTTTTAATTTCATTTTTCATAAAAAACAATAACATATTCCCCAAATATTAAAATTTTGTAAATAACACTTACCATAATATCATATAAGTAATTAATAACTACATTCCTTTCCAATTTATTCACTCTGAAAATGATTTGATGGCAATCAATTTCAAATTTATGACAACCACCATAGCATGAATACTAAAAAAATGAGGCCAAACTAAATAAAAAATGAATTAAATAACAAAAATTAAAAGGCCCATTACAAGAGAGAGAATCAGAACGTGTTACATCTTTATTAAATTGTCTTCTTAATAGAAGCACATATACTTACAAGAGAGAGAATCAGAACGTGTTACATCTTTACTAAATTGTCTTCTTAATAGAAGCACATATACTCCCATTTATTCAAAGAGACAAGAACAACAAAGACGAATATCTTCAATAAGAAAGTATAATAATAATAATAAATATTACACATTCTTACTATAAATAGTTATCATTTGCAATAATATAGATATGATAACACTCTCCCACAAACTCGAGACAAAAAAGAAGATGTTGATCTGAATTTTTAAGTAGTAATCAGCTTGAATAAATAGGCAAATGTTATGTTGTCTAAAAATTGTGTCTTAATAAAGTGAACAATATATCAAGAAGATAGTGTGAATTAGACTGAAATAGTTGACACAGATATCCATGCAAAAAAAAAAAACAAGGATAGGATCCAAAATCATTGACAAAGTTATCAATAGTGTCAATGATAAGTAGAAACAAAGAGCGCCGATGGAGGGCTTGATATAGTGAGGGAAAAAAGCCACTGTTTTAGTCTCCGCTAGAGAACGAAAAGATTGTACTTATGTGCATGGGGGGTAGGGCTATAAAAAAAGTTTGTTGTTCGTGAGAAGCTAATGTTCGGCTCATTATGTAACTCATATTTGAATCGTGTTCGGCTCTTTTTAGTTTGAAATAAGGAAATCATGTATACTTAAATCTAAATTTATATTACCATAGCTCGTGTGATCATGTGGTTATGCATCTTTTATTACTTAAGAATGACACAGATTCGAATCCAATACCATACATCTATTTTTCTAATTAATTTAAACGAGCTAATTTTGAGCTGAACATGGACACACTATTCACGAGCCGATTTCGAAAGAGCCAAACACAAGCTAAGCCTGAGCTCACTCAAGCTCCACTCATTCACATCCTTAATGGGGGGAGTGAAAAAGGCCCATAGGCTAGAACGACATTCATAGGAGTTCAACAAACATACAAAATAGTAAGAATGGTAGGCAAGATCACTAGTACACAAAATAAAGCACAACAAAGTTAAAAAAAAAATATCAAATGATCCTATTACTCTAATAACATAATAGAATGGGCATAGTTGGAAAAGACAATAGCTATACTAAATCGTCATGAGTAAAAACATGTATGTATCAAAATATAAGAGAAGAGAACAATTAAAGAGAAAATACTCAATAATAATATATATAGCAATGTTCAATCATACAAATTATCACAATAAATAAAAACTACACATGATAATTGAGATACTATAACACTCGTTTGTAAACTTAAGGTAGCATAGAAGATTTAAATATGAGTTTGAAAGTAATATCAACTTAAGTAGTCAATGGCTTTGTCGGCTAGAAGTTCTAAGCATCACAAAAGCAAGAACATATTTGGACGAGAAATTGTACGCACCAAATGCAAAAAGTCATCAAGACGATATATGGTAGATAAACTACAAATAAGATCCTTAAAAAAGGAGCATCAATAGAGAGCATCAATGAAGAGTACTTATAGAGCATATACATAATAAGAATAAAGACAATGACAATTGTTGGTAGAAAGCATAGATAGATGAACAAATCTTGTTAGAAACAATAAAGGTCACGTGCCTTTTGGTCGACAATGGAGATTAGTTATAGGTAATGTCTGACGAAATGATAAGTGCGACAACATGAGAATGAGGTTCATTGTTTTTAGAGGTTAGTGATGTATATGGCATCTTATAGCTATTGTGATTGACGAGAACAAATATGAGATATCATCATTGATGAGGATGCGATGTGGGTCCTAAAAAATGAAGTGATGTGTAGTCACATGTGAGGTCGTAATGAAGAAAAGTCAATAGTGGGAAAGACAGAGCCAACATTTGCTACAAGCACGGCAATAAACAATAATGAGATTTAAGTCATAGTAATTAGAGATGGGGAACAGAGACGAGTCAAGGGTTTAGATAGCATGTGTATGAAGTGTGTAAAAGGGTCGCACGCACATAGGCCGGTAAGCACAATAAGTAATAAGGGCAATGGAAAGTTACATGCGACAATTAAAAAAAATTCAAAGGATCCTACTACTTTGATAAAAAGAAGTGGAAAAAAAATGAATATATTAATTGAATTATTATCTAGTAAAAGTATATATCTATATCTATATCTATATACACACACACACAAATATACAACCACTCACGCACACAAGGGAACAAAATAATAAAAAAATAGAAGAAATCACAAGCAGACCACCCCAAACTTGTTATTTACAAATCAATCATCCTCTTTCATCCATTTTTCAAACTTTCACTCAAATATCAAAATTCATGGTTAAAAACCCAACCCATATACCTCTTTCATCCATTTTTCAAACTTTCACTCAAATACCAAAGTTCATGGTAAAAACCCAACCCATATTTTTCATTTTTATCGAATTCTTAATAGTTTTACCGTGGCTCCCGTAAATACATCGGTTCAGTAGTTCAAAAAAATTAACTGGGCGGTTACTTTGCAAATATTAATGTTTTGGGTGGTCTGTATGTAATTATCCCCAAAAAGTAAAATATCCTCAATAATGAAGAATATAAAAATAATAAATAATGCAAAATCTTACTATTTAATGTCATTTTAGGAAATTGATTGCAATAAAGATAAGATCATACCAATATTTAAAATTGTGTAATTGGATATTGAGAGATTTTTTGTCCATAAAATGAGATATAAGACACAAATTAAAAAAAAAAAATGCTTAAAAGAAGTATTATGATAACACATTAACATCATATATCAAATCATGTAAGTACAAATAACAAATTAACATAAACAATGTCACTAAAGTAAAATAATAAAACACAAATAACATAATAACATAACAACCAAAAAAAGTTCAACATAAGCCTCTCTCTCTCACACACACTCGTACAACCCCTCCCCTTAAGTAAGAATAAAACATGCCATCAATATTAAAAAAATTAAATTCAACAATCCTCATCACTCTCACAATTCAATATCTTTATTAAAATTATCAACATAAAGAATTGTGTTCTCTCCCACATCCTCACATCCTCAGTTGTATTCATGCTCTCCCACTCATTTTTAATCTTAATCATTTTTCTTTTTCTTAATCAACAATATTCAATAAAAAATTAATTAAATTTTAAAATAATTACTATATTAATGGTTAAAACATTAAATAAAAAAATTATAGATATCTTTTTTGTTTATTTCTTGTTGCCAAGTGTGTGAAGCATGAGAGTAAGTAGGTAGGGTATATGGGCATTATTTTTTAGCTTTTGTAAAAAGAAAAATGGCAAACACCTCAAAAAATTGAGGCAAGGCTTGCCTCAACTTGGGACAATGATGCATAAGTCTCATTGCGATTTTTTGCAAAAAGCACTGAATCAACTCTTCAAACATGCCACATATTGAACGATTGTAAACAAGCGACCATATAAAGTCTTATAACATATTGGGATGAATGCTTATAAATTAGAAATTCTACAAATCACTAATATCAATCTAATCTTTAATGCAACCGATCTAAGTTTATTTAATGCACCTATTAGTAATGGCATGGATTTTTCTCTTTCTATTCCCTAGTGAAACTACGCCTAACACATTCCTAGACAAATCTACTCGTCTTGAATTTGAAAGCAATAATAAATGATAAGATTGTGTTTATTATTAATGTTGGATGTCAAAAATATCACACATATCAACATGGCGAACCAACTTGTGATGATTCATGGATTATTTTACCAAAAGTACAACAATTATACCCTTACTTGGCAAATATCAATGCTTGATTTATTTAAATTAATTTTTTCTATGCTGGCCAAGTTTGATGAAAATTTGAAGGTGTGCACTCATTGGAAATGCAGGATTTGAATGTTAGGTAAGCACATCATTATTTTAAGTTGCGTTATTTTATTTCATACCTTGCATTTAAAATTTTTCTTTTGAATATAACATGTCTGTGATGTTAATGTCTATAAGAAAAAATATGCTCTCCAATATTTTGATTACTTTGTTAGGTATAATTTATAGTTTCAACCATCATGTCGGGCAAATGGTTTTCAGTCTCAACTTCCTATGGCTAGAACACTCTTAACGTTCTCCAACATTATGAAGCGATAAGTTGACTTCTTCCACTATTTTCCTCAGGCGACACTATCGTTTAGTGCAAATGAACTTCACATCTCTTGTAACTAGAAGACATTTGATTGCTACTAGATTCCTTCCATATGTGATACACACGATTGTGGCATGGATTGTAAAGTATGAGTGTCCAAAGTTTGTTTATACAATAATTTCTTCTACAACTTTTACTTTTGCGACACTCAGATTGTGAAGCAAAGCTGGGGTGGTTGGACCGACTGGTCCAACATGATTTTGTCGGTCCGTAAGGGAGGCTGAACCAGCCAACACTCTAATGGGCGGAAACTGTCGTCTCCCTCCCCCACTAATTTCTATATGACATTATTGTTTAGGGTTCAATTTTGCTCTTTCTATTTTCAGAGTTTCAGCCGCCAGACGTTACCTCCATCACTAGGATTGTATTCGAGGACAAATGGTGCTCTGGTTGATTCGGACTACAAGATGCACCCCCTCACTCCACTTGAATTAGTACCCCTCCTGCCGACATAAAAAATTAGCGAGGATGCTGAGAAGGATTGCATGAAAATCAGAAGCTCTATGAGGATGTCGGGAAGGAAATCGCTACCATCACCGCAAATACCAAGCATACGCAAACAAGTCCAGAAAGAATGTGACTTTTCAAGAAAGGGACCTAGTGTGGATTCGATCACCGCAAATACCAAGCATACGCAAACAAGTCCAGATGACTTTTCAAGAAAGGGACCTAGTGTGGATTCGACTGAAGAAAGAAAGATTCCTGGCATGAGCATTCAGAAAACTCAAGCCTCGAGCAGATGGACCTTTCAAAATAATCTGAAAGTTGACTGATAACGCTTACAAGATCTACCTGACAAGAGACTACAATATTTCTGCTATGTTCAATGTCGCAGACTTGACACCAAACTACGAGGACCCAAAAGCTTCAATGAATGAAGTTGAAGCTCCTCCAATCTCATGAGACTGACGTCGAGCTAGGGGGCTAGACCAACCAATTAAACATGATTGTGTTGGTCCAGCAAAGAGGCTAGATAAATCGACACTCTAATGGGCGAGAACTGTCGCCTTTTCCGCCTCCCCCTTTTTCTCCTATGATAAATATATGTTACTATTGTTTACGATTCAGTTTTTCTCTTTCTGATTTCAAAGTTCCCGCCGTCAGACGTTTCCTCACTTGCTAGGGTTGCATCCAAGGACAATGGTACTCTAGTTGTATCCTGTTCCGAGATGGTCGTCATCTCCTCAATCCCTCGTCGTACTCCCTCTTTCCTGTTGCCACCAGCCTTCCCTTATGCCTAAACCCACTGCTGCCATCCTTCCCGAACCTGTCCCTAATTGTTGTCGAGCCCACTTCCTGCTGCCGCGAGTCTTCCATGCGCCTAAACCCACTATCATCAGCCCTTTTGCACCCATCCTTGTTGTCGCTAACCTCACCTACACCCTCCTTCACTACCATCAATCCCTTTCAACCACCGAGTGACGCCGCGTTTTCCCTGCCCTCCACCAACCTGCTATCGTAGCCTCTCGAACCACCCCCATGTCTATTGTCACCTTGGCCCTTGCCCGAGGGTCTCGTTTGTATTTGTGTTATTTTATTTCCAATTTTATGAACCCTTGTTGTGATATATTCTGAATTCCAACAATAAATTTCGTCTTTTTTTGTCTTTTTGGGCTAACCGATATCAATTCGCCTCTTCTTATGATCACTACTATAGCTGGAAACCGTGAGTGGTTGTCATAGACAAGGATTTGAAAGGGAATATTGAAACATTGGTATTTGGCATTGATTGAATTAAATATACCAATTTTAAGCTTTTTCTTGGAAGATTTTAAGAAGCTATTCATTTTGGATCCTTTTAGATCATAAATAGAACCTCGAAGAAATGCAATTTACAATGAATTATTGAAAAAATATTCTACTTCCTCACAAACTAATTTGTACGCTATTGGATCTAGACTTTTTAGTATTTTGTAGGTCTGTGACGACATCAGTGGAATGGTATTCCTTTTACAGACATAAGGAACTGGATTTTCTAATTGGTGATTTCTATCATAGTTTTCTCTTCTAAACAATTTTGTGATCAATCAGTGTGATGTTCACATTTTTAATACATACTGAATCCCATTTTTACTTTGTGGATCCTGACTGCTGTGGACTTTTAATATTTGTTTTTTTTAACACATTTCTCATGGAATTTCAAATTCTGACAACTTTTACATATCATTAGAATAAATGAAATGTTCTTAGAGATTGATCTGTGCTTAAAATGAAAACTGGAAATAGTGAAGTGTAATTTTGTATTTCTTCAAGCAACTCATCAAAAATTTACATTAGTGAAACCTAAATCCTAAGATATCCTACATTACCAACAAAAATCCTAAGATATCCTACATTACCATGACAAACCACCACTAACCTAAATCCTAAGATATCCTACATTACCAACAAACCATCAAGACAAAAGTAAACTTCAAAAAAGAAGCTCAGGCTATTATAGCCATCAGATGTTAAGAGTTAGGCAACTCTACATGAGGTGGGGAGGAAAAAACAGTTGCAAAGTTAAAGACAGTTTATAGAGTAAAATCCATACCGATGCTTTATCAAATGAGCTTTGTCCAACACCAATTGCAAAGATAGGAAGGCCCTAAAAGTCAGTGAAAATAAAAAAAGGATAAATGCCAGCTTCTAGTTAAGATTGTAAACCTTCCAAATTAGATCTCGCTAAAGATTTATCTCACGAAGGAAAATAAAAGCCTGTTGCTAGCTTACAAAGAAACTTAATTACGCTTATGATGCTGTGAACTGAACGATTAAGCTTCCTCCCTTATTATAGAAGAACAGCAATGAAAGTCCCAAAAAAGAATGCATACCTGCTTGGAGTATCCTGATAATCCTAGAAGCTGTGAATCTCGCACTGCTCTATATAAGTCAACTGGAAGTATAGGTTTCTGAAAAGACGTGTAACATAAGCCATAAGCAATTATTAAACAAAATTGACATAAACCAGTGGCACCTTTTTAAATTAATTAATTTACTAATAGAATTATGGTGATATTTGTTCACTCTTGCTCTCCACAAAAATTCATTTTAAAGAGTTCTTTGTATCTTTGACATTTTATTTTAAAAATTCAAGCTATAAAAATAAGACCTAATTTTTGTATGCAGAGTACAATGAAGTGACAAAAGTCTTTGAATGCAATGCAAGTTCGTTTGGTCATTGGCCTTTTTGTGTTCTTATTTATTTTATTTAAAATTAATTATCAACATAATTATTATATGTATATCTGAAACTAAAGAAACTTCCATTGCAACACCTATGAGTGCAATTTCAAAGAGAACTTGCTGCCAAATAAGACAATAGCTGCCAACTTCATAATTCAGTTAAAGGGAGAAAATAGTAGTTAATAGATATTTTTCAAGATTAAATAAAAAAATCTTCAGCAGAACAAATGTATTTAATGGCATCAAGTTAAAGCGTTGGGCTCCTCACAGACAAAATCTTGTCAATTTCATTTTGCAATCTCCAATTTAAGCAATCCATCAGCTGCAATGCAAATGAGAAACAAATAAATAAGAAGACATTTTGATTACCATGCATCTAGAGGATAATAATTCACAGTTAACAGGAGTTAAGCCTACCATCTTATGTGCTTTTGGAACATTCCAATCCCTTGCCTTCAGAAACCGAACTATAGTATCAGATGGACATCCCTGATGCATGTTCTGCAATTGAAGGGAACAAGATACTCGTCATGAAATGTAATACTTACAAGGAAAGAATTTCTGCACCTAATTAGCATGGAAGCCTTTCAATTTGCCAGCACAAGTCAAACCAATTATTTAATTCATTATTGCTTAAAACCTGGGTAGACTGTACCATTTCCTTAGGGAATGACAGGGCATTTCATTAAGAGAATCACACTTGGCCACTTCAGTGTTGTTCTCCTGTCATCATGGGAGTACAGAGTATGGAAGTTTGGTCATAAAGTTCATCAATTGATCTCCAATGATTTCAGAATATACTGAAAGAAAAAAATTGGCGAAATAAAAGGGTTTTCCCCATAGATCACCCTCCAATCAAATAAATAGACTCCAGCAGGTTGGTTACACGTCATCTAATAAACTATGAGAGAATCAGAGATAGTTGCATTTCATGGGCCAACTACACATGATACAGGGCTCAGCTACATCACGGATTTGGCTTGATAATGATTTTCGTGTGATTCCTTGTAGTTTCGAAATTAGGGGGGTTTAGCAAATGGCTAATACATTTCTAAGCATAAAACATTTTGATCTTTTTGTGATAGTTTCAATGGCATAAATAGAAGATATATTTTCAATATGCTCTTTTGTATAAAAAAAGAGTTATTGTATTCATCTTAAGCAAAAAGTTCAAAGAGAGTTCTTCACAGTCTCTACTTATTGTGAAATGCCTACTTTATACATTAGTCTTAGCTATTTTTTGAGTCAGTTTAATTATATTTAATGTCCTAATTGATATCATTTATTGTGGCTGTAGTCATTGGAATTATTATATCATGGGTATTTATATTTCACATAAATCGTGACATGATAAAAAAGACAGCTTTTTCTGTACCATGTATTTTTATTACAATAGCATTCGTTACTACATTACCATAACCACGTAGCCTCCCTCCCTTCCTCCATCCCTCTCTCTCTGGGGAGTGAACCCTATGGTCAGCCTTCCCTCATTAGCAGGCATTCACTAATCATTTGTCTTGAATTTAATTCTTCCTCCGTTCTATATTCTTCAAATCAATGTTATCAAAGCCCCTCAGAATCTTTACTTTCATTGAGTGATGTCATCAATTCAAAACAACGATAAAGTTATCCAAAACGCTCTCCATTAAGCTAGAAGAGCTGACTTTAACCGCCATCCTTAGCCCAATTCCTTGTGAATAGGCTTCTTTGAACTAACTAAACCAAAGGTTAAGCCAATGCAATCTAACCAAACTAATAGATTACGTTAATTCAAGCTCAATGGACACACAAGTGACAATATTTTATGTTACAAATAATAACTATGACTAAAACGTTATATAGATGTTAAAAAAACACTACAATCATTAGGAGACACCACCTAGTGATGCCACATGAACTAAATTGCTCCATCACCTACATTTATCCATCACATATAGGATATGGTAGCAGCCAAACATCACATCATTTTCCAATGAATAGTTTATTATTATTTTAAAAGTATTATTATAATTTGATTAATTTCTCATTTTAGTACCAGAGATAATGATGACCTTAGATTTCCAAATTAGAAGATTGAGCAGTTAAAAACTAGCTTAGTTATTATTCTCTAACAATCATAAATAGAGCTTGCACAAGCTTTTTATGCTTCAAATTTAATTTGATCTAGTTCTAGACTTTTAGAATTACTCTCATTAGTTGACTTCTTTCTTTAGACACTGGACACTAATACTACAAAGAGAAATTGATGACGAATTTGGCCATTAAGAACAGTTCATCAGAATTGTGTGAAGCAAATTTAATGCGCAATAGCAAGATCAAAAGCTTTCAAGTGCAACTAAGGCTTTCCATGAGGTATATGCTAACAGCTCAAATAAGCACTAGCTAGCTTTAGCTCCACTAATCCACTCAGATAGCTTTCCAGAAGACCATTTGCCAGTAGAGTACACACAATAACAATTTAAAGCAACTTTAACACGGCACCCAGCTGACACGCCACATAACCAGAATCAAATGCTCTGTACTCGTCTAGCAGAAGAAAACAAACTCAATCATGTTCAAACATGAAGTCCAAGTCATTTCCCGGTTAATGTATTCAATACCCCTCCCACCAGAATTCCACCATACAAAATATAAATAAAACAGATCACAAAGCCGAATAAACCGCATTAAACAAAACCATCAATTCCAAAACCACGCCAAAAATAACAAATGCTCCAACCCAACCCGAAAAAAGATCACAAATAGTTCAATCAACCAAAAAACTTAGCAGATCAACTAATGCAGCACATGCACTCAACCGAAATCTTAAAAAACCTCAAGCATCAGAACTAATCAAACGCCAATCAAGCTATCCAGCTCCACAAAACCAAAACACCCACTCAGAAACAACAATCAACAAAGCTCACAAGATAAGCAGAAACAATGCACAGATCTGGCCCAGATCCCGAACCTGGAACGTGCTCCTTTGCTGCTCGTTCACTGCAAAAAAACAAAACACCCCGCAAAATAAGGGCAAACATCCATCCATCCAGTCAACTTCCAACAAAATTCGCCAGCAAATAAACGAAATCGAACAAAAATTCCCATACCTTCGTCAATCAGCGCAGTAAACTGCTTGATCGCCTCCTGGGACGCCATTGCACCTCGGATCCAAAGAGTCGGTCGATATGATCAGTGATGATCCGTTTTTAGGTCAGGGTTAGGGTTCCCCCCTTCGCCTTGTTCCGAAGAGAAGTACGAGAGAGGAGACGAGTCTTCTCTGCTCCTCCACCTCGAGCTGCTTCTTTCTTCCCCTCGCCGTCACTAGAAAGCGAGCAGCCGAGCGATATGTTGGCGCATATTCTCGTGATTAACTGTGGCAGGTAGAATAATCAATTGGAGTAGATCGCGGGGGGAAATGTTGAATTTGACATTTTTATATTCAATTTTAGAAAATAAGATATTTTTGTTTAATATAAAGTATTATTATCTATTTACTTATATATTACCTTTTTTATTTTTTTTAATTAAATAATCATAAAATAGGCAAGGTGTCATTTTGTCCAACCTACATGTTGCCAACCCCATCATAGTATGTGGGCCCACCTATGTGTTGGTATACTTGAATATATATATCACTTATTTAAACAAGTCCTGCTTGGCATGAGAAGCATACAATTGTTGATGGAATCAAAGGAGGAGGAAGAGGCATGGACAGAGGAGAGGCATCACCTATATATTAGATGGTTAGAAATAACTTTTATTGAGAAGATGCGCCGCCAACAACAATACGAAATTGTTGACGGTGGCCGTGTTAAGGAGCTCTGTGACGATGATTTTGAGTTGCCGCTTCATCATAAATTTGGTCGTTTGTCGCTAGACAGCACCACCGAGTTGACCCATTCAGCGCAACCAATGAATGTGTCTTCGAAAATGCAAAAGAGAGAAAATATATAATTGGATATGTATGTGGTAAGATGCATGCAATTTTATCATTTAGTTAAAGTATTACTTGTGTGGTGTAATTTATGGCATTTAGTTTGTTGGTTCCATTCTATGAGAGCATATGTTATGTTGATTCATGGCCATTTCTTGAAAATCTGTACACTTTGGTTTTGATTTTTTCTTTTTCAATTTCTTATCTTTTGCGATTTATATATATTTATTTATTTATTTATTGAATTTATTTTAAACTAATTACAATGATTTAAAAAATGGAATTAAATCAATTGTTGCATCCATTCAATTCTGAGCTATTCATTAGACAATTCAATCCAATCCTAATATTATTTTCACTCGTTTGGGTTTTTAAAGAATGACTCAATTCTAATATTGATTAATTTGCATCCTTTTGTTATTGATTGAACTTGTAAATAAACAATTTATATTGTAAATGTTGAATTCAAGGATGTCTGGGAAACACGCCTAAAGAATAGACCATTACACAGAGAAAGAGAATGAAGAAAGACAATAATGAATAGTAGAAAGTGTGACCTTTTATTGGAAAATGACATATTCATAGACAGGGTTAAGAATGTTGGAATTATATGGTTGCCCTCTTTTCATTAGTTTCTGAGGGAATTCTTTTAGTACATTACATATATCAAATATATTAAATGACGAGTGGGATCATTGGATCAGTATGTGACCTGGCGATCGATGATTGCCAACGATTTCTTGATTTGTCTCGGGGCTCGTTACATCTTCGTTCGATCGGTTTGCTATGGGTTGGTCACCATATCTTCAAATGAATCGATTCTTAGGTCTGCTTTTGGGGAACTTTTCTAACCTGGGATTGTCGACCAATCGGCTAATCCCCCATTTGTGATTGATCGGTTAATCCTCCATTCGTTGTCCTTTCACTGGACCATTGGATTGCCTTGAGAGTTATGCTAACATATTTTCGTATGCATATTAAGTTCATCAATTTCTTGTTTCTTGAAAGTCGTTCTGCGAATAAGAATATTTAATTAATGCAAAGATAAAGGCACAAATCAATTTTTTTTGCGATGCAATTGCTTAATAAAAGGCTTTCATGGATTTTCTTACCTAGGCTATTATAAATTAGGTCATGGAGAGGTAGTTGTTGGGCGTGATTTCTCCTTCTTATGCCTTGCCTGATATATTTCCTCCACTTGAGCCCATAATGATGTCCAATGAGGGAGCCTTTGGCGTTGATAGGGGCGCGCTCCTCAGAACCCTTAGAGGCATTCAAGCTAAGGCCCAAAAGCTAGACGTAAAACGAAAGCCGACCAAGGAGACTCCTATTGGATAAACAAGCAAGAAAAAAGCAACGAGAAAATCAAAAGTTCACACTCACAAGGATCACATTAGGTCCTCTTACTCTCTCGTGGGGTTGCAGCAGGAACAAGTCATGGACAATTTGAAGGTCAGTCAAGCGTCCCTTTGGATGGGCACATGATCACAGTGGAAGATCTTGCAAAAGGGATGAAAGCACTCTTTCAACCAATTATGAGCCACCAAAAGGTCGGGCTGAGAAGGTCAAGACGGTGGCTATAGGCGAGTTCCCACCTCAGTCTTCGAGGGGCGATCTTCCTCTCACGAGCGGAGAACATGTAAAAATTGGTGAGACTGCAATCTCTATCACCACGTCTGAATGGAATTGAATTGTTGGTATGGGATTCTAACTCAACAATATTAAATTTTTTATTCCCTTTTTTATGCATCCATAGAGGTCCTAACGATTTTCATTATATTTTGATGTTGATCCTGTGGAGGATGTAGTTGTCGTGGATTAGAGGTAGGGCTAAGGTAACTAGCCTTGCAGCGAGAGACAGTAGTTGGACCATCGAGGCACTCCCAGTTCGGTGAGGGAGGAGTAGACGCTTGAGGGACTCCACGCAACTTCTGATTCCTTAGGGCACTGCCTCACGGAGATGGAGGAGCAAATTGTTCGTGCTATGAGACACGCTTGAGGGAATGACGATCAAGGGATGGCAACGATCATGATGAGGATGGATTGAATGAAGGGGGAGATTATTGTCTTGCGTGAAGAGTTTTCAGCTTTTATGAGGGAGATGTTCGTCGTTTGAGAAGAGATGACGAGCCTTTGTTTGGAGTTGTCGACTGTTAGAGGGACCCCTCCCGTTCAAGTAGGGCCCGATAGAACCGAGTGTTTTAGGCTAGGTGGTTAGTTTGTATGAGAGATTGCTTCGTTAGAGGTTTATCTCGGGTGAAGTTGTTGGCAATTGACTGATGAGGTTCTTCCCCTCATAATAATTTTTTGAGAGGTTTTATGTAATCTGAATTTGAACGTAAATAAATAAAAATTTTATTTTCAGTCATGATTAACTTTTTTACCTCGAATACCATGTTTGATTTTCCCATCATATAGCGATCATGTTATAAACAGTCATGTCTACCTTCTCCTTCTTCCTTGTAACCCTATCGTCTTTTCTTCTTCATCCTTTCCTAATACTTCATTTAATCTCCTTTATCCTTCCCTGATGGCACATGGATTTTCTCAAGAGATATTTGGCTTGATTCCTGTCGTTGAAGTTTTTTTCCTCTCTACAGCTGATGTAAAGAAGATCCAAAATCTCTACGTCCTTGATCCCTCGACTCTACTTCGACCAGTGGCCAATCACGAGCAAGCCACTGATCTGTTCGGTGTCAACTTGTTCTTTTACAAGGACCAATTCAAACAGGATCTTCGACTTCCATTATGCAGGGAGTTGCGGTCAATTTTCAACCGGTATGAGGGTTATCCCTGCTAAGACTCTCCCAAACTCGGTGGTTATTATCATGAGCTTTATCCTTTTTTCTTGGAGGATGAAGATTCCCTAGACAATCAAATTATTTAATCACTTATTTATGGCTAGGATTGTTGAAGGCGGTTACGCCCGATTTGTTGTTAGTGCCAAAGTTCAGTTGTTGGGCCTTGAGAACAACATAAAAAATTGGAAAATGAATCTTTGGATCGCTTCTTGCAAAAGCCATTGGGGGATTTGTGTTCTTCCAATGGAATAGAAGATAAAGAGAGCGAAATCTTTGCCCAGACACTTCCGAGCTCATGGGTCGTTGATCGAGGGTCGACGACTCTACTTGTTTCATTAGCTTGATCTCAAGGTTGTCGAATGCATGATCAGACCAGATGGTACTGACATTATGACTAAGGGATTGTGGATTTTCTTTGACAATCGGGAGGTGGCTAGAGAGAAAGTTGTAGTGGAGAGTGAGGCTTTGAAGAAACTGCAGGGAAAATTTGGCCATCCTCCGTCAGAAAGAGGTAGAGATTGTCCACATCCGCTTGCATCAGCCGAGGGGGATGTCAAAGACGAGGAATTAGTCCAATTATTATAACTGCCGTTAGTTTCAGACTGAGAAGAACTTATGGTGCTGCATTCTAGATTTTTTCGGAGGAAATCGAGGAGGATCCTCTTTGGACTCCTAGTATCCCAAATTCCAATGATTTGTTGGGCAAGCCAACGATTAATAGAGCGCAAGCGGTGACTCTCAATGGGACCTCCTTCATAGGATTGTAAAATCAAGGGGAAGCTAGCTGCACCTCTCAACCTATTTCAATCGGAATAGAGTCCGAGGGAAAACCTGGGGACAGTACGAGGAGCAAGGGGGATATTCCTCGACAGGAAAGAAAGACTCCTGTTCCAAACAAGAGTTAGCCTTGGACGAAGTAAAAGGTGAAAGGATTTGTAATCCAGAACTTTAAAGAAAATTTATCAAAATAGATTTTAGAAAGGTCATTTATATACGTAATGTTCAATTCCTATGTAAGATCTATTTGGGGAAATTACAATTATTTGAAGAAGTAACTGTGAATTTGTTGCAGAATAAGTTGTTATTTAAGAAGTTGCAATGATCGTTACAATTTTTTTTCTTTTGAAAAAAATTAATATTAATTTTTTTGGCAGTTATCACACTTAGGATCTGTTTGGGGCATCTGTTGATTATTTATAATATGTTTATTTGCAGATTATCCAAACAATCTGATAATCTACAAATTGTTTTAATAAGCTGGCTGACTGTTTGTGAGAGCTTATGCATAACAACTAATTTGTCGTTGTTTTTAGATAAATGATCGTTATGCCCCTGTTAAGTAATGATTTTTGCAATAGAATTGTATGGATTATGCCCCTGTTAAGTAATGATTTTTGCAATAGAACTGTATGGACAATATAATTGATGATTGATACAACAGAAGCAGAAAACCAATACAAACCCAAAGCAACTGAAATGAATTTAACTGTTAATATTCATCCTAGCTTTCACATATAACCTGAATTTAAATGAATTCATCTCAGCTTTCACACCTATAAAACTTGCCTGAATTTAAATGAATTTAACTATGTATAAATTTTGGCACTTTCACGTATAGACAATGAGGGTGATACCAACATGTTATTGATCATGATCAC